TCCCTCTCTGGTTGGTTCCTCTCCTCCCCTTCCCCCGTTTAGAACTCCTTGGCCTTCATCTTAGCTTTCAGTCTCTCTCTCGCCCTCCTTCTTCATGTGCTCTTTCTTCTAAACTTTTGTCCTCTTTCTTCCTCTCCTTATTTTTCCATTTCCTCCTCACTTTTCTTCTTCTCCTCCTTCTGTTCCCTTCTTTCCATTTCTGGTGTATCCTCTTTTGCCTTTCCTTCCTTTTCTTACTGCCCCCCCTCCTTGCCCCCTTGTCCCTCCTCCCTCCTTCTGCATGAGCGAGTGCTCCCACTTCTGCATGGACACAGGCCTGATGCTTCTGGCCTTGGCCTTACCTGCTAGGAACAGGGTCTGGGGTAACTAGACTAACTTTCAGGTTCCCCGTGGACACATAGGCCTTCGCAGTGAGGGTGCTCAGCAAGGGCTCAGGACAGTCCAGCTTTCCGGCCGCCCTGGCCAGATCGCCCGGGATGCCGGGCCAGGCCCTCAGGAGCCAGGCCCTCAGGAGCCAGGCTGTGCTTTGCATGGGCCACTGGGCATAAGACAAAGAATGGTGCCCCAGCTCCTGCTGCTCTGGCCACTCCGGAGTACAGCACTCCTTGGGGACAGAGCACCCCTGTGACCTCATTCGGAATCTCTGATCCCAGGACCCATGGCTGAGAGTCAGAAGCCCTGGGAATGGACCTGGGCCTGACCGTGACCATTTCCGTGATCCTGGGAAAGTCTCTTCGTTACTCAGAGCTCAATTTTCCAATATGAAAAGTGGAGGGATCATAGCCCTGCCGTGTTTTGCATGGTGGCTTGATGTGCCCTAACATGGTGGACCCTTCCTCAAGGGTCACATTGCTCTATTTGAAGGCAGTGTAGTTTACTACGTCTACCCTGGTCTGTTGGACAAATGGACCTGTAGGTTTTTACACCTTGGGACTGAGTTTCCTCATCGTTTCCCTGCTCCGTGGGGCCTGGAGGCCCAGGTCAGGGAGAAGATGGTGCTCAGCCTTGCCCTGTGCCATGATCTTGATCAGTTCTGGGAAAAGGCTTATTGGGGGTGGTGAGAGCAGTTGACTCCCAATGGCAGTATCTGGCATTTTCTGGACCCTCTGTCTCCCTGTCCATGGATAATGGGGAGATGGCTCTAGCAGAATACCCCTGTCTGCCTCTCTCCTCTCCTTCTACCTCTTTCTCGGCCCAGTGGTGGGGAGTGCAGTGTTCAACTGGGCCTGGGGTTTGGGGCAGTTCTGGGGTGGTGGGTCTGTCCTGAGGGGAGCTGGCATGGCTTGCCCTGGGGCTGCTGGTGTGATCGCCGTGTGGCTTTCTGGTGCCCTGGCCCAGCAGGTGGCCTCCCGGATCCCCTCACTTCCGGAGCCCCAGGCATGCTGTCGGACACCTGCGCCGCCACCTGGAGCTGAGGAATCCAGTCTTCTGGAAATTGGAAGGCTGGAAGGAAGAGCTGGGTCTGTGGGGGCGGAAGCGGCCAGGCTGGAGTTGTAGGGGGGGCCTGTAACGAAGCCTGACACTGTGGCATTTTTCCAGGGGACCCGGGGCAGTCGGGGCTGTGAGTGTGTGTATTGGTGGTGGTAGGGCTACAGACCCCTGATTTGCAGTGTGCAAGTGTGTGTGAGTGTGTGTGAGTGTGAGTGTGTGTGAGTGTGACAGGTGAAGTGGACTTAGTGCCTCAGGTCTAGCCTGCTTTGTGAAGAGCCTTGGAGCCACTTGCTCCCCCAACCACAGCACCATGTGGGGAGCAGAATGAGGACCCCAGGGAAATGGGGCTGTTCCGGCGCCCTGCTCTTCAGGTCTGGCGGCTCATGTGGAGGCCTTGGGCGGAGGTGACCACCATCCTGCAGGCGGTGGGGACGGCCCCGTGAGCAGCCCTCAGAGGATGACAGAGGGCCTCTGAGTGGAGCACGTTGTTATCCTAAGGAACACTTTATTGCCACTGAGGCGTCCCACCGCGCATGCTGCTGGGCTACTCAGCAGCCTGGCTGGGAAGGCCTTCCAGGCTCCCGCCACCGCCTCTCTCCCCCTTCATGAGCTTCCCCTGGCTGTGCTGGGGAAGGGGCTGGCCACAGAGGTGCTGAGGGTGACGCCGACCTCCTGCTGTTCCTGTTGGGTGAAGGCTGTGTGTGCACATGTGTGCGCCTGCGTATATGTCTGCAGTGCCTGTGTGCATGTCGGGAGTGAAGCACATAGGGATGGTGGCCCCGAGAGAAAGAGTGGGCCTGGGGTCCAGGGTGGTGGAGGGGAGGAGGGCAGCAGGGGGAGCAGGCCTATTTTTATTATCAGTCAGTCGCCAGGACGTGAGGGAGGGGTGTTCTCCCTCTGACACTGGCTGTCAGCCTGTGTCCAGACGGCCCAGCTTGGCCGAGGAACAATGGGGCTCTCTTCTCTCCCCTCCGCCCTGCTTCATCTCCCCTCCCGTAGAGAAAGACAAGAGAGAGGGAGCATGGCTCTCCAGGCACTGAGAGGCAGATCTGGGCCTGCCAAGGGGGACAACAGTGAGACACTGTGTTCAAAGAATATGAGAGGCCCTGGCTGGTCACTGGTGCCATGGGAGCTCTGCGGGGGAGGGGCTGTCCCATGGGAGTGGAATGCGGGGTCTTCCCCCTTCTGCAGATGGGGGCTCCCCTGAAGTGCCCTAGCTCTTTGGAGGTCATTCTGGCACTCCCCCTGCCTCTGGACCGAGCACGCTCCCATGGGCTGGGCTGGTGGCCGCGGAGATGGCTCTCAGATGTCTTCCGCAGTTGGAAGCCCCTCTAGCAGTCCAGCCCCACCTCCAGGCACTGCAGCTGTCTGCGGCACTGACTGTGGAGGGTGTTCTAGGCACACGGCAGGGAGTGTTTCTTTGTCCCTCTGGGAGATTCAGGGCCTCAAACTGAAGCAGACCCCCTTTCAAGGGGAGACATCAGATCCCATGCAGGAAAACTGGCCACCCCTCACCAAAGCACAGGGATCGGCCAGGAAGAGGCAGCGGGGCTGGGCCAGCCGGAACTAAAAACCAGCCTTAATGCATTTCTGTTAACCTTGGGGCTGAAGTTCGTTCCAAACCCCAAGAGCCTTTCCCGAATGGGCCTCCTTTGTCACAATTATTATTAGAAAATCAATGGCTATGTCTGTTTCTCTCTAATGTTTTTGCCAGGAATGAAACCAGCAGTAGTTCTGGACCAAGCTGCCCAGGAGGGCTGAGGGGCAGGGGGCTCAGCGGGGGAGGGAGAAGTGTGGCCGAGGGCACGGGCACCCACAGACATGGTGGGAGGTACGGGCCACTTCTCTGAGGGCTGCGGGCCTGGGGTTGTGGTAGGGTCCCTGTGCACCGCTCAAGACTTTCAGAGACATACCCCCTTCTTTTGTCTGGCTCCTGGTTAGGACGATGCGACCTCCAATCTTCTATTCTGAAAGTCAGGCTACTTCAAAGCGAGGGGATTATTTGCTTTAAGTAAAACCATTTGTGAATCTGGTTTACAGTCCCCATTTGGGCTCTCTCCTCTCAGCTCAGAGGGCAGGCAGGCTGCCTCTTAATAAATAGCTCCAAGCGGATACTCGAAACACCACTGGTACCTTCTGCATTTGTCAATGTGTGTGCTCATCCGGCTGCTCTCCAGACCTCTGGACGGGGCCTGCAATTATGGGAGAGTATGAGTGCATGTCTTGGAGTGTGCACGCACGCGCGTTTGTGTATGTGTGTGTGTGCGCCTGTCCTGAGACTTGGCAGCATGCTGCCTACTATTCATGACAAGTAGGAAGGCTTCCCAGCATGTGCTTCTCATGGCAGCCCTAGTAGCTGTGCCAGACGGGAGCTGGGAGGCCGCCTGCAGTGTGCAGACCCCACTCTGGACTGTCTGAATGAGGGCGATTTCTGCTGGGCTGCAGTGGCACATTCCTAGGGGCCAGCAGAGTGTGTGTGTGTGTGTGTGTGTGTGTGTGTATGCATGCGTGTGCATGTGTGCCATGGGACAGTGTTCCCAAGTGTGCTGGCCTGAGGCTGGTGTGACCAGGGTCTCGATCCCACATGACCTTTGGTAAGTCCCAGCATGTCCCCTTGCCTGACCTGCTCTTGGGTGGTGGTGAAGGCAGGGCTGAGAATCCCCTGGCACCCGATAATCAGGACTAGGAGCCTGCCCTCAGGCTGGTTTTGGCCTCTGGGACCCAGGGGGTAAGTTTTCTAGGATTCTGGAGCCAACTCAGTGAGGCAACGGGTTCTGTGCCTCGGCCCAGCTGTGGGAAGAGGGGGTGGGAAGGAAGGAGGGTGAGGTTAACAACATCCCCAGGCCTGTGGAATGGAAGGAAGTACAGAAAAGCAGATGGAACACATGATTCCAGCACTTTGCCTGCTGTTCTGCTGGGAGGGGCAGGGCGGGAACCTGGACCATCTCTGGGGCAAGAAAGGGGTGGATAGCTAAGGGCTGGCACAAGGGAAGTTGGTAAGAGGTTTCAGAGGTGCACTGGATAAAGTTGGGGAACCCCAGAGAAGGTCAGCAATTTCCAGGGGCCAGTTGGGGCTGGGGACTTTATAACAAGTCTTAGTCATTTCTTTGTTCCTTCTTGGGAGCACCATTTGCAAGATGATGCATTATTTGCTCTTTCCAAAAGTTCTTCCCCACGGGCCTGATGTTGCTTGTTGGTTGATCAGTCGCCTTGGAGACTGTCTCTCCTCCCTCCACCTTCCCTCATTTGCCTGGAAGCACTGGCCCTCTGCCTCCAGGCCTTGGAAGGAGTTGACATCTGTTTCTTGTATCAGTCCTTTGTGCTCTGGGCCCCAACCCTGTGCGGAGTAGATTCCTGGTGAAGGCCAGCCCAGCCTAAGCAGGTCCCCCACCCTGCAGAGAAACCCAGGGTGTGGGCAGAGGGAGGCAGGGGGGTGGTGCAGAGGGGAGACAGGCCCAGCTCCAGCATGGCCCCTGAGCTTGCGCTGTCTTCTCTAGGGGAATTAGGTCCGATGGATCCTTTGTCACACAATATGCTCATGGCCTTCCCTGTCCTGCCATTCCTCCCAGGGGTGCAGGCTCGGGAGAAGCCGCCCGCAGAGCCCCCAGCCCCTCTGCGGAGGCGGGCGGCCAGCGATGGACAGTATGAGAACCAGTCTCCAGAACCCTCATCCCCCCGGAGCCCCGGAGTTCGCTCCCCTGTCCAGTGCGTGTCTCCGGAGCTGGCTCTCACCATCGCGCTCAATCCTGGAGGGCGGCCCAAAGAGGTGAGTCCCTGGGCCACATTCTGAGGCCATCAAAGGTAGCAGAGCTCATCCGAATGCCCAGGAACATGATGATCAACTGGCTGGCACTGACCTGTCAGTAAACCCAGTAATTTTTCCTCTCTGCATCCTCACCAAGGGCTTTCGCATATGGAATCTGGAGCTCATTTCCTTCCCTAAATTGCTTTTCTGTCTCACATCTTCCATTAACACTGAGATTGAGTTCCCTTCTTGTCTCCTAAAGAATGCCCCTGAGCAGAGTGGTAAGGATCCTGGGTATAATATAGGGGACCACGGTCTGCAAACTTCAAACAAGATACACAATTTAACAAAGTATTTTTGAGCCCTTTCTAAATATAAGATTTTCTCTGAAGATCTAATTTCAGTGCCAAAATATTTGCATTTCTGAGACATTTCAGTGGTTTGAGGCAGTAGGTCTTAAACTTCAGCATGCCTAACAATCACCGAGAGTTGGTGAAAATGTAGATTCCCAAATCCGCCTCCAGAGATTCCAGCACATTAGCTCTGGGATGGGGCCCAGGCATCTGCATTCTAAACGTGCAGCCTGGAACTTTCTGATGTGAGTAGTCCGTGTCCGAAAAAATCTTGGTGGAATCATTCTGGACAGGAATGACTTTGGACTTCTTTTCTCTTCTGCTTTTTGCCAGGCCCCAAGTCCCCTGGCCCTGGACCCTTCTCTTTGGCCCTGTTCTGAGGTATTTCCAAGACAGGTGCTCCTGAATTCCACCTGCACCTTGCAAATGGCCTTGCAAAATAGCCACTTGCCAGTCTCTTGGCTACAAGGAGTTGTTGGGGCCATAAATGAGCAGCATCTGCCTTTGACCTCTGTGTTCACCTGGGTGGGAGTGGGTGGGCAGGCTGGTGAGAGGCTTTGTGGGCTGGTTAGTGGGAAACCCCTTCTCAAGATTAAGGCCACTAGTGTGCCCCTTTTTCCTCCTGCAGCCCCATCTGCACAGCTACAAGGAGGCCTTTGAGGAGATGGAAGGAACCTCTCCGACCAGCCCACCGCCCAGTGGAGGTAAGAGCTCCCCTCTAAGCCTGTCTCCTTTGGTCCCCTCAGGGCCCATCTCAGCCTCTGCCTGTGTAAGCACCCCAGGCTTGGGGTGGGGGGTGCTGGCAAAGTTGAACAGAGCCACAGTCTGTCCCTAATCATCCTGTGGCTCATTTCACTTCACCTTCCATTCCCCACTTCTCCTCTTTTCTTTTGTCCACACCCCCAAGTCTAAGGGCACAGCAGCGAAGTCTAAGGATCCCACTGAATGACTGTGGGGCCCCTGGGCCCCCATGGTGTGGGGTTTTCCTAGTTGTTGAGAGTCTTTGCATCCTGTGTGCAAAACATCCTCTACCTAAATTGTCTCTGTGACTTGCTTGTCTGTCTCTGAGACACTCTTTGACCTTCTTGCTTCTAATGTCCATTTCTGTGTTCATGCAGACACCTCATTTAGTTTCTGTCAAGGAAAGAAAGGCCATGCTCAGGCTGCCTGAGTCCCCGTGTCACCCATCCTTGGCCTTCAGGCAGGAACATTTAGTCTGTACCCCTAATACACTCAGTGGAGAGGGAAATTCCCAAAAGGCGCAGGTATTTCCACCTAAAGAGAAGACCCAGATGAGCACAGGAGTGGGATGGTGTTCCTTCTTATGGTAGAAGAAAAATGCAGAGGAGCCTGGAGAGGCCCTTCATGGGGAAGCAGTGACGGACCAATACGAGGCTGCGCAGGACTCAGGGTCTCCGTGGGAGGCCTGGGCCAGCAGAAGAGGGAGAGACTGGTGTTGCTCTGGGATTGGGTTGGCTGGGCCAGGCACAAGCTCCCTATGTATTCGCCACGGTGAGAGGGGAGGAGGGTGAGGAGGAGGAGGAGGAGAGCTGGAGCTGGCTGTACATTCTTCTGCTGGCTGGTTCTTCTGGGGAAGGAGGAATGTGGCACCGGAACTGGCCTTCGCTCCCGCAGAACGCGTGTTGGCTGCCATGTTGGGCATGCAAGAGGCCGACGCTGTGACCTGAGGCCATGGCTCTCCCTAGAGCTGAGCTGTCCAATGGAAATATCACACAAGCCATGGCTGTTATTAAACATTTTTAATAGCTACATTAAAAAAATAACAGGAAACTGGAGAAATTAAATTATTTTTTTATTCAACCCAAAACATACAAACTATTATTTCAATAGGTAAATTAATATAAAATATTAATGAGATGTTTTTCAATCTTTAAAAATATGTGGAAAGAAACTGATGAAACTAATTGTAATAATAGGTTTTATTTAACCCCAAAGATCTAAAATACTATCATTTCCATGTGTAACAACATATGGAGATATTTTGTGTTCTTGATTCACACCAAGTCTTTGAAATCTGTGTGTTACAGCACTCAGTTCCGATTGGCCACAGTGCACGTTCTTAGCAGCCCCGTTGCCTGTTCTTGGCTACCACACTGGACAGTGCAAGCCCTGGGCAATCTGCTCAAGAGACAGCTCTGTGGCCTTTTATGACTCCATGGAATCTCTCTCCCTGGTCTTACCCTTTACCTTCACACCTGCTCTGATTCCCTGTCAGTCTAAGCAGCCAAGATGTTGGCCATTTCCCTGTTTGGGACAGAAGCCATGTGGACTGAGCTTGGGTTGGCTTTTGCCACTTGTTTCTGTTCCCATTCTTCTCTCTTCTTGCTCAGCCCTGGGTGCTCTGGAGGGCGGGGAATGGGGGGAAAAGTCAGAGGTTTCATCCATACACAGGGCTGGGAGAGAGGACAGAGGCGGAGAAATGTGAGGAATTCTCCCGGAAGCGAAAGCCTTGCCTGGCTTTAGGGCCACCCACTCGTTGGCCTCAGGGAAGGGACAGATCCTGGGGACTGGGGATACGAGCAAGTCGGGAGCTGGAGATGTGTGAGGGGAACCAAGAAAAACCTCCCACACTTGGGGGCTGGAGAATCTTTGTGGTCATTCCATGGGCTGTGGCCTCTGAGGCTGGGCTCATTCTTCCATAATTAATTACACTGAAATTCATTTGTGTGGCAAACATTAGTAAGTGCTTGATAAGTGTTCATTGCAAGGCACCTCTGTGTGTGTGTGTGTGTGTAAAGGGAGAAGGAGGGACAGACAGACATGCAGGCTTAGATGCCTGGATGTGTGTGTTTTTACATAGCTGTCCCCTCCGCTGTATTTGTCTTTTGGGCCCCTAAGGTCAGAGTGAGGTGTTTTGCAGGAGTGGGCTGCCCACTGGACCCCTGTGATGTCTCACTATTCTCACAGACACCTACGTACATACCTGCTTACGCAAATAAGTAATATAGGTTACTTGCTTTGAGAGACTGTAGTTTTAGTTAGTTTCCTGTAGATCTCACTGTCTTTTGGGGAAGGGAGACAGGGCCAGAGAGGGTCCCAGGGCTGCTGTGTGGGGGTCCTGGACAACTGAGGGCCACGGCTAGTCTGTTGAGGCCATTGGTGTGGGGCAGGCAGCCTTGGGCTCTGGCAGATCTGTGTGGCTGTGTGTCCTCAGAGCCCATGGCCCCCGCAGGCTCCTGATGGCCGCGATAGGAGACACAGAGCTCGTATTTTTTACTTCTCCTTGGAGCTGTGTTAGGATATGAGGCAGCTGCCATTGAGAAATCTCGTGACTGGGTGTAACAATCTCCCTGTGGGTCAGCTCCAAGTCTGGCCTCTTCCTTGGCTGGCGGGACAAAGCCTGATAGCCCTTTCTGACCTTGTGTGTTACACAGCACTTCTAACCTGGACAGGTGGCTTGGGAGGGACCTGGGGTTTGTGCAGGGCGTCGGTTCTCTTGCCCAAGGATTGTGGAGACTGCCCTCTTCTAGAACACTGAGGTTTGGGGGGTACAGAGAGCTCCGTGCTGAGAAATTCTCTCTTGCTAGAGTTTGCAAGGGCCGAGCCCTTTGGCTGCGGGCTTGCCTGGGCTCTCAGGGTTGGCGTGGGTCCGCTGGTGATCCCTTCTCCTCCATCTGCCCTTTGCAGGATGTGCCCTCTGGATGCCCCATTTTCTTTTGTTCTCCTCTCAGTCCATCTAAGTGCCTGCTTTAGAAAGGCTGTGTGTGGGGAGGAGGGAAGGAGGAAGGGAGAGAGAATAATGTATGAGAAAATTGGAGAGAGCCAGAAAGCCCCCTGCATGCATGTTGTAAACCATGGCACGTAAAGGGACTGTGGCGAAGAAACTAGGAGCCTAGGGAAAGAAAGGATTTTCTCATGGCTGAGGGGCAGGGCCAGCACAAGGACACCACTTCCTGACTCGCTTTACCTTTTAAACTGTGGAGAAACACCCCTTCGGTCAAGGGCAGTGGAGCCACAGCAGCACCCCTGGGCTGGGGCGGGGTCCTCGGTTCCTTCTCCTGCAGCCCACCCCTCCCTCGCAAGTCCTCACTTACAGGGATCCTCCCTCCTGTCCCTCTCCCTCTCCCCTTACCCTCCCCCATCCCCCAGGCCCTGAGATTCACTCCCCATGTCTCCCCTGCTCTTTCCTGCACAGTGCGCTCCCCTCCAGGTCTGGCCAAGACACCCCTCTCTGCCCTGGGCCTGAAACCCCACAACCCAGCGGATATCCTGCTGCACCCCTCGGGCGGTGAGTGGCTCTGGCTGGAAGGGAGGCAGTGGGAGCGGCCAGAGGGAGGAGTCGAGAGTCGGAGGACACCTGTGGTCCTGGTCAGGGCCCGGAGGTGGTGGGCTCTCCAGCCCTTGCTGGGAACAAGATGGCAGCCTGGGTTTGTGCCCATGCAGAGGTCGGGGGTTGAGGGGGTAGATCCCTTTGCAGCCTTTCTGCCCACTGACCTGTGAGGTCAACCCACTCCGTGTCCTCTGACTTGGGGATTTGGAGGCCTGGCCTCAGTTTCCTTAGAGTGTGGTCAACTCTTGGCAGAAGCCAGGCTCCCCTGTGCCCCAGTGTTCAGATACTTGTGTGTGCACACATGTGCACATGCGTGCAAACATGCCCCCACACACTGATACCCCAGCTCCACACCCCCCACTTCCTCATCGTGGTTCCGAGTTCCTCTCCTTCCTTTGGGGGAAGGGGAAAGTAGGGGGCCCTGGGCCCTTAGTGGCCATTTCAAACAGGCTGAGTCCAGAAACGTGTTCCCTAGACTCTGGTTTTAGGGTTAGGCTGGGGCTCTGGGGGCCAACTTGGCTTCTTTTCCTTAGTCACCAGAAGACTGATCCTGCCAGGTAGGAACACAACGCATGCATGTGTGACCCACGTGGACACACGGCCGGGCACAGTCTCCCACCCAGGAGGTGTCTGCATGGCCCGGGACACTGAGTCACTGGGAGAAGGAGAGGGTGGGGGGCTGCCTCTCACTGGGCTCGCACACGCCTGCCTGAGACACAGCCCGAGAAGGCCCCAGGGCCGGGGCTGCGACAGGGACAGGCACGGCTTGGACTTGGAGCCGTGGGGGCTGGGCCTGCTGCCTCTGAGCGCCAGGCCTCTTTAAACCACATGCCCTGAGTGCCTGGCTGCCCTCGCCCTGCTGCCCTGGAACCCAGGGTCCTGTCAGGGTGGACCCCTCACCTTGGGGCACTTGTGTGAAGAGTCACTTCTGCCCTGGCCTCACCTCTTGTCTTCCCACCTCCCTTTTCTCAGCAAATTCTCTCTCAGGAAATAATCTCTGTTAATCGATCTCTCTTTCCTTTTTGCCCTCCCTCTCCTTTTCATCACCTGCCTCTCTTTGCTCCCCACCTCTCTTCTCATCTTCCCTCAGAGGAGGATGAGGGGAAGGAGGTGACAGAGCTGTCCGAAGGTAAGTGCTGGCTTGCTGTGTGGTGCTTCTGGCTGGCCGGGTCAGGGAATGGCTTTTCACACAGAGCTTGATCGGCTGCGGGGCAGCTCTCTTTGCTGACCAGGTCTCAGTTGACCAGGCACATAGCCTCCTGGTCTTCTCCACAGTGATGGATGACCTGTCACCCTAGAAACCGCCTCAGCCCTGATTCAGGAGCTTGTAGTGCGGATTCAGGCACATCCAGTGTCCACGTGCCAGTGTGGCGCCATGTTACTGACAAAACACCCCTCTGGTCATTGTCACCCCAGTGGCATCTCTGCCAGCCTGCCTAGGGTGCAGCCAGCCCCATCAGAGGCGAGGGGACCCACACAGAAGGCAAGGGCTCATTCTTCCATTTCCTGGGTGTACCCCACATGCAGAGCTCAGAGCAGGGGTTCTTAACCTTTGCACTACGGACATTGGGGCCCGGACAACTCTCAGTTATAGGGGCTGCCCTGTGCCTTGCAGGTTGTTTAGACGCATCTCTGGCCTCTGCCTGCTACATGCCAGTAGTGTGCACCTACTCATGACAATTAAAAGGTCTCCAACATTGCAAATGTCCCCTGAGGGACAGTCACCTCTGTTGGAACCACTGTCTTAGAGCCATGAGTTGACCTCTTATCAAGACCAATGGTAGGAGGTCTGTTTTTTCTGGAATTTCAATGTCTTTGGGGCTTTCAGAAAAGCTAAGGACCCACCCCTATGCATCTGGGCATCATGCACGTCATTTTGACAGTTTCAAGGAGTTAGATGTCTGTGTCTCAGCTTAACCCCTAATTTAGATGAGCTCCACATTGTACACAGGAAAGCAGAAAGGAGAGTGAAATGTGGTCGAAAGCCTTTAACTTATTAGGAACAGAGTTCAAATGATGACTCAGCAGCAGGTGAAACGAGGGGGAGCTAGCCTGGGTGGCCTGGGCTGGTTTTGTGGCATCTGGTCCAGTTCGGGCCCTCTCTACCAGGAAGGCTTAGATGATGAGGTGGGTGTCGAGCCACCTTCCAGCTCTGCCATGTTAGGTGTTCTGACTTCCCACCTGGACCCTAGGTCCGTGTGGCCTGGTTTCTCACAGACTCCATTGGGTTTTCTTAAGCCTACGTCTGCTCTCTTTGCACTTACCGCTTTGATATTCTCCCCCTCAATGGGGCATGGGCTGTGCCATTCTGAATCTGCCATCCCCCAGGCAGAGTGGCTGGAGCTTCCATGAAGCTTTGCCTGCTTCCGTCCAGAGCTCACGTGACAATACCAGGCTGCCTGGGGGTTGCAGAGCAAGGCATCCCCAGCAACCGATCCCAGAACGGGGTGAGCTGCAGCCTGCTCCTGGCTGCTGGTTCCTGATAGGGCAGGGAAGCTGGGACAAGAGCCCAGAATAAGCTGGGGCCCAGAGCCAGCCTTTGTGTGTTTCAGATGCCCACCCACACTCTCCTCGCGGTTGCTGACTTCAACAGACTGGTGGGACCTCAAACCCTTTCCAATGGGAAGGTCAGAGGCAGATTATCCTACAGGCCGATGGGCCCTGGCCGGTTCCCGCTTTGGGTGACACCTCAGAGGAGTGAGCACCCACAGACCGGAGCCAGAGACCTGGCCCTTGTCCACATGCATGTGTCTCAGCCTACAGGGCCCTGAGTCCTCCCACCCGCCTCCCTCTGTCCTTCAGCCGCAGAGTTAGGAGGAGAAGGTTCTCAGGGATCAGCTCTGCCACGCCCATCATTTTCACAGCTGTGGCACTGAGGTCATGTTTGCAGGGTGAGGGGGGGCACCTGTCCAAGGTCACAGTTAGGGAGCAGCGGGACCGAGAGTGGAATTACCTCCTGTCTCCTAGTCGAGTGGCTAGTTCAAAGCCCTCCTGTATCCAGGCACGGTGCCCTGGGATTCCAGCGTTGGGGTCGGAATTGCTGTGGTGGCCTGGCGAGCGGGGCACGTTAGGGGCAGCGAGCTTGGCTGTGGGCAGCCAGTTTCGTCTTCCCTGACTCATGTACTACCCCCCAGTTAGACTAAAGCACATTCCTTGCTGACCCTCTGAAGCTCTGCCTGCTTTCCCTGCTGACACTCTGATGCAAAAAATAAAAAATGCTTGTGAGGAAAAAATGGTCAGAGTGGGATTCCTCAGCCAGGGCGAAAGAAGGCCTCAAGGGACTCTGCCCTGTTCAAGGCGCCATGCTAAATGCTTTATGTTACTTCGTTCTGTCATTCATTGATTCATTTGGTCAATACATATTTTATGTGCCTACTATGTGACAGGCACTGTGCCAGGCTGCAGGGATGAAATGATAAGCAAGCAGGTCCATAGTTCCAAATCTCATGGAGCATGAACAGGAACCAGAATTAAATGATCACTCAGAATTACCTGGTGAGATAAATGCTCTGAAGGGAAGGGATGCAGTTTTATGAGACCTTAAGGCAAAGACCCTGACCTGGGCTGAAGAAGTGAGATGTGAGAGTGACATTAACTTGGTGGAACTGGGATGGGAGGAGAGCGTTCCACACAGAGGAACGGGGCATGTGCAAAGGCCCTGGGGTGGGAGTCAGCGGCAGGGGTTTTTGTTTTTGGTTTTTTTCCCCCCTAGGAACTGCAAAGTCAGTGAGGCCAAGAGCAAGGGGGAGCTGGAGGCTGAAACAAGGGAGCTTAAGGGAGAATGTGGTGCAGGGTGAGGTTCAGCAGGCAGGGATGGGACCATGTGGGGTTGTTGTCACATCTTGTGTGATAGGCACAGGAGCACTGAGAAGAAGGTGCTAGGAACCCCATTTCACAGATGGGGAGATATGACGCTGAGGGATGTTAAATGGCTTTTAGGCCCACACAGCCATCAGGGCGCAGCTGAGATCCCGCACTGGATCAGCACGCAGAGGCCGCCCCTTTCCATGCGATTGCACTGGGCGCACCTCTGAGTATAAACTGACTTTACTGGGCACGGGGCCTGCGTACTCCTTTCCTCGAAGGAGGAGAGGAAGAAAGCCAGTAAAGACGTGAACCGACGTCAAGAATACCTGCTCAGTGATGCAGGGAGGAACGGGAACGGGGACGTTCAGGTTGAGTTCTCTTTGTCCAGAGGATTAGATGGGATCATTTAGGAGAAAAAAACAAGACACACTGGACTGGAAATGGCCCCTCCTCAGATTCTTCCTGCTCTGAGATCCTTGGTGATGGGTGGACTGTGGCATCTGGGATTTTAGGGCAGTGCTGTGCCATGTAGATTTCCTGAGCACCTACTCTGTGCCAGGCTCTGTCCTAGGCACTGAAGGTACAAAGATGAGTGAGGTAGCCTGGCGAGGACAGAGATGCCAGGAGACGTTCAGCATGAGGCAGAATGCTGAGCGGGGTAGGGACAGGGTGCAGTGGGAGCTCGGAGGGTGGGCATGTGGCCCGATCTTAAAGGTCTCATGTTCTGACTTTTCAGCTCCTGGACTGGGACTCGGGGGTCTCTTTACAGTCTTCCTCTTCTCTACCCACATGTCGTCCTTCATGTGGGGTGGGCGGGCCCCTTCTCTCCAGGCAAAGAACCTCTTCTGGGAGGCAGAAAGTGTACTTAGGGTGCGGGTGAAGAGGTGACAGCGCCCCCAGCCTGGTGGGGCCAAGGCACTCTCGGGCCTCCAGCTGCTCTCAGCCACCATCAGCCACTTGGAATGGGTTTGGGCTCCTGGAATGTTCTGCGTGAAGCACTGGCCCCACCTCTCCCCGCTGCCCAGCCCTGTTGCCTCTGGGTGCAGCTGCTCCAGGATTGGAGGAGAGGAGGGAAACAGCAGGAGAGGGTGGAGGGAGGCAGCCACGGGCGGCAGGGCCCAGGCGGCAACGCCGGCCACGGCAGGGCTGCTCCTAAACAGCTCATTGGAATCAGCAAGAAAGAATTAGAAGGAACTTTCTCATCTCTTATCACTTGATCCTGGCTGGGCAGGTGGGTATTCTCATTCCCATTTTACAGATGAGGAAACTGAGTCCCAGGAAGGTTCCATCTGTTCCAGGTGCCCCCTCCAGCAAGTGAAAGAAGGGGAGCCCACAAGTTGTACATTGTATTGAGGTGGGGGAAGGAGAGGAATAGACAGGAAAAGGAGGCATTTTCAATATAGAAATCTGAGTGTGAAAACTTGGGAAAACTGGGTTTTTGGCCCAAAAGCTTGGTTTTGAACAGTTTGAGCAGTTCAGAAAATGAAAGCTTCCCAGAGTCCCTCGTGCTCTGTGTTTGTGAGGAGCGGAGATTGAGCGAAGGGGCCTCGCTCCTCTCTACCTGGATCAGGGGGACGTCGCCGGTGGGAGAAGAGCTCGGACTTCAGAGGCCATCCCCGTGGGTTTCAGCTTGACCTTCTGTGGTCAGCAAGGATCCCAGGGAATGAGAAAAATGAATGTATGCCTCTTAGGTCTTGGTTATGACGCACCACTGTCTGGGTGGGGCTGGAGGGTGAAGATCATGCATCTGCTGGTTTGTGGGACAGACACATATGTAGGGCCTGCTAGGTGCCAGCCACTGCACACGGGGGCGGATGCATCTCCCGGCCCTCCCTGGGTGGGAGAGAAGGGGTGCCAAGTGTTACGGGGACCCTGGTTAAATGAGAGCCTAGAAGGGTTTCGGAGAGAGTGACTTCAGGCAGTAGGGGATGGGCTCTGGTCTTGGGTCTCGATGACCATTTCTGTGGGTGTGAGGCCCTCTTCTGCCAAGCTGGGTTACCCCAGGACATGAGCCAACCCCTCAAGGCTAAGGAGGCTGAAACTATCAGTTCCCCAGCTTTCCAGGCCAGAAAGTTGTGCAGTGGGCCAGAGAGCAGGCCCTGGCCAGACCACCTGGTTCCCTAGGCTGATTCTGCCACTTCTTACTGTGTGGCCCAAGCAAGATACTCACATTCTTCAAATCCTACTTTCTTCATATAATTGTTTGCTACTTTTATCACGATTAATAGCCCCGTGGAGTTGGCTCATCTGCGGGTGATGGGCTGCTGTTCTGGGTAGCAGCCAGCTCTGGTGCCTCTTGCGGCTGTGGCCCCTTCTGGCCCCCTGAGCCAGCATTGAGAATCAGGAGACTGTGGCGCTAGTATCCACGTCTACTGTGTGTTCTGGGGCAGATTACTCCACCTCTCTGGGCTGAGGAGATGGGTGAGATCCGTGGTCATCAAACTCGGTCAGATCTTGTCCACCACCTGTTTCTGTAAAGGCAGACACACTCATTTGTTTATGTACTGTTGCCTCTGGCTGCTTTCGCACTACTAGGGCAGGATTGAGTAGCTGTGACAGAGACTGTCTGGCCCACCAGGGCTGAGATATTTTCTCTCAGGTCCTTTGCAAGAAAGTGTGCCTGCCCTGGGCCCGAGGATCTCTGTAGCATCTCCTGGTTCCAGTGGGACCTTGGGCACAGGTGCCATAGAAATAGTGCCTTTGGAATGGATGTGGCCTGGGCCTCCTGTGAGGTGGGAGCGTGGCCTGGGCTGGGCAAGGGGGCTCTTGAGGACACCTTGCTGGCCTCTGCCCACGTGGACTCCAGCTTTGGGTGCCGAGGTGGCTGGTTCTACATCACCCTGCCCCTTGTACCTGGAATACGTTGCTCTGAGCTGTCCTTTTGCAGACATCCTGCTCCGCCCCCGTCCACTGCCACTGCTGTTGTTTGGAGGCAGCTCTGTGTGAAAACTAGGACAGGCGGGCAGCCTTTGGCCGGAGCTGTGCACAGAACCCCAGACCTTTGTAGAGGGCCCTGTTCTGAATGACCATCCTTGCCCTGTGTCCGCAGGCTTCTGGGTGCACAATGTCAGACCTCAAGGTCACTTTACAGGCCACACCCAAGAGGCTGTGCCCTGGCAGCATGGTGATTGGGCCCCTTCTGAAGTAAGGTTTTCTTTGGGCCCAGGGCAGGGGGCTGTTTGCAGACTCAGTGACCAGCACAGCCCTGGCCAGCTGCGGCTCCGGCAGCCTGGCCTGCCTGGCGCTGTGCAGGTCCTCTAGGGTCCCAGGCTGGTTTCGGCAGATGCCCTACTTGGGTCTGTGCTCAGTCACGTCCCTCCTGAGGGAGACAGGACCAGTGCCAGGTTTGGAGGTGGCAAGAGTGTCATCCATCCCTCATGATGTCCCTTGAGGAGCCCAGGGCACCCTGCTGCTTTTCCCTGCTTCATATTGAGTTAGTTTGGGGGCTGGTCTCAGAGGAAGGAGTTGGACACGCATTGGCTGGGCCTTCCGTCATACCACTTCCCAGGCCTCAGTGTCCTCATCTGTGCGATGGCCTTTCTGGCACCTGTCCCTGCCCTCCTCCCCAACCTCCATTCCTCTTAGGATGTTTTGAACACCAAGTGGGGATAATGGTGTCAGTCTCCGGAGGAATGCTAAGTGTGTCAGGCAGGGAGGGGGGTGTGTCTTGGCATAACGGCGCTGGGCGTGACTCACCGGCACAGGCCTGCTGCTAGGCCGTCAGGCCTGCTTCTGGGCCCTGGGTATGGGGGGAAGCCTGTGCGGCCCTGGGGCTGTCCTGAGGCAGGGGCAAGGCTGGCTGGGGCTCTAGGTCCACACTCCGGTGCCGCCAGGGGGTCCTATAAGGGCCTGGGGACCCAGGGGGCAGGGCCATCAAGGAAAAGCAGCTGAAGGGAGTGCCAGCTATGGATGGGCATCCTAGCTCTGAGAGGGAAGGTTCTACCACGGCTGCCTTTAGAGGCAGAGATGGGATTTGTTTCTGCGGAGCTTCTCTGAGCGAGGCCATGGTGAGAGGTTCTGTGGGGTTCCCACAGCTTCTCCAAGAAGCCGGGAGGAGGGGTGGACATGGGTAGGCAGGGGCCCCAGAAGTGCCCTTTGTGTGCTTGGCTGTCCTTTTGGGGCTGTCTCCCCAGGCTGGACTCTGGAGAGATGGGCTCCCTGGCAGGTTGGATGGGGTCCACATTTCATCCTATAGATCTGTGCTCAGTCTCTGTCTCTGGCCCCTTCCAGAGCCCCGGAGCTACGTTGAGTCGGTGGTGCGGACGGCGGTGGCTGGGCCCCGAGCCCAGGACCCCGAGCCCAAGAGCTTTAGCGCCCCAGCCGCCCAGGCCTATGGCCATGACACGCCCGTGAGGAACGGGGCGCTGGGCGGCTCCTTTGTCTCCCCCAGCCCCCTCTCTACCAGCAGCCCCATCCTCAGCGCTGACAGGTAAGTGGGGGTGAGGAGCACGTGGGTGGTGAGAAGTCAGGCCTGGGACAGCGTGGCTGAGGCTCCTTGGATCCGCTCAGGTGTAGTGGACAGGTGGACACAACATCCAGATCGCTAGAGCACCAGCTCATCAGAAGGCTTGAGAGAGCATCCTCCGAGCGCCACCGCCTGTGGGGGCTCGAATCCTCGGGCTGAATTCAGTTCCACCGCCTAGAACTTGCTGGAAGGAGCGGGGGGTGCGTGAGGGGTACGGACGTGAACCAGAAGCTTCCCTCTCCCAAGGTTAAAATCTAACAGCAGTAATCGCTATGTAGTGAGCGCTTCCTATGTGCCAGGCACTTTGCTAAATGCTTCCTGTGGTTATTTTATTTAATCTTCATATCAACCTGTATGAGGTAAGTAGTAGTATCATTCCCGCTTTCCAGAAGAGGAAACTGAGGCACAGAGTTGCGAAGCAGGTTGCTCGCAGTCCTATAGTTAAATGGTAGCAGACATAGGATTCAGACCGAAGGCATCTGGTTGGGAGCCCACCTCTCCGCCTCCTCTCCTCCAGACCTGGGTCACGGTGCCCATTGCAGGATGAGCCAGATGTGCCCAAAGCAGATGCATAAATAAAGTTCTGGGATCTCAGAACAGGGGGCTGTGGTTTCCAGCTAGGAGTGCAGGGAGGATTTCTAGGGGCCGGAGGTGTTTGTGGTGAGGCCAGAAGGTTGAGCATGTGTTGAAAGGTGAAGCAGAAGGAAGAGGGCTTTCTGGAAGGACAGCAGAGACAGGACAGAGGGTCGGAGGGGTGTGGGTGGCTGAGGGCTCGCAGGGGCAGGTGAGGAGTGTCGCTTCATGACAGGGAGAGGGACGACAACATAGGGGAGGGAGCTTGAGATCAGCCCAGGCAGGGCGTAGGGTGGTAGGCGTGGGAGAGGAACTGGCCCCCCAGAGCTCGCCCCAGGGAGGGGACACTTGCCACTGACCACCCCTCCCCACGTTCACTCCCCTCCACATCCTGGGGTTCCCGGGCGCTGAGAGCACTCCAACTACCTTTTCACATTTCCACAGGCCCCGGGTGGGCTGGAAATCCTTCCCTGGCCCAAAGCAGTGCGCCCCTCCGAGGTCAGGGTGGGTGGCTGGGAGAGAAGAGGCAGTTTTGTCTGAATTCTAAGAATTCTGATGCCTCAAGGCCAGCACATACCCGCAGTCCACCTTGCCCCGCTCCCAGTCTCCTGATGGGGCAGACAGCTCCATGTCTTGGGAGGCTGTCCTCTGGGCAGAGGGTTTGGTACGTAAGGAAAGGGGATCTTCCTTACCTGCCAGCCACCATTTCTGGTGTTCAGAGAGCTTGGACATCAGTAAGTTTTCACTGTTTCTCACTCACATTCCTCCAGCTGTAGTTTTGGCTCTTTTCAGGGCTTAGGAAGCTAGCATTTATCCTCCAGGATTAATCTTACAGAACTTTTCGGTGTCCCCCACCCACCCCGCTCCACTCGGCCTGACACATCCTCCCATTCCTCAGAATTCAGGTTATTTCTTGCAGGAAGTGGGTGTTCTGCTCTGACTCCTTCTGTGATGTAAGGTAGACTTTGTCCTGGCCTGGCCCCTGGCTTCTCCCTGCCCTTGGCTCTTGCCTGCCCCTTCCCCCTGACATCACCCGAGGGACCCAAACTTATCTGACCCAGCCTCGAGAATCCTTCCAGTTTCCAGCTCCAGGCTTTGGCCCATTGTCTTACGTAAGGAGCCGGCCCGCCCTTCGGGGCTCCTCGTGCAGAGCCTCCCTGCCACCACCCTGCAGCTGCTGCTTATGCGAGGTCCCTGCCAACCTTTGTCTCTCCTGCCATGTCATCGAGGGATAGAAGTTTGTGTCTGGAAAGAATCAGGGTCATCTAACCCAGCCCCCTCATTTTTTTTTCACATGGGAAAACTTTAACAGCAGAATCCAGATTTCCCAACTCACAGGCCATTGCATTGCGCTTCTCTGGGAACTTGTGCTTGACTTCAGAGTAGAACCTTTGATTTTGGTTATTCCCCCAGGTACAGTCTCCTCTGAACCGAATTTCTCCAGTCTTAGAATTGGGTTCGACCTCTGAGCTCATCTAATCTGACCTTTCATTGGAGGATATTCCCTTCACAGCATTCAGGTCAGGAGGTCAATCAGCCTCTGCTTAAATGCTCCTAGTGATGGGAGTCTCATTACTATGCAAGACAGCTTGCTCCCTTAGTGGCCAGATCTGATGGCTGGAAAGCAGACTTTATAATGAGCTGAAATCTCCTACGAAACTTCCTTGTCTTTGCTCTGTGGAGCAATGAGCAATGAAAGCCCAATTCTAACACTCTCGACATTTAAAGATAATGATGGCACACCTGGAGAAATCAAGGTGGGGGTACTTCCAGGAGAAACAGGATCCAGGTGGTTTGAGCCCCGTTTCCAGTGTTCAGTGATACTGGAGTTGACAAGAGGATAGCCACCCTCAATTTCTTTATTTTATTGAATGTATTGGGGTGACCTTGGTTAGTTATACAGGTTTTAGGCGTTCAGTTCTGTAATCCGTCACCTGTATATTGTATTGTGTGTTCACCGCCCTGAGTGAAGTCTCCTTCTACCTCCATTTATCCCCCTTTACCCTCTTCTACGTCCCCTGAACGGCTTTCCCTCTGGTAATCACCATCCTGTTGTCTGTGTCTATGAGTTTTATTTTCTTTGCTTAACCCCTTCACCTTTTTCACTCAGCCTCCTAACCTCCCTCCCCTCTGACAGCTGTTTGGTTCTCTGTATCTGTGACTCTGTTTCTACTTTGTTTGTTTTACTTTGTTCGTTAGACTCTGTCATCTTCAGTTTTGATGAAAGGGAGCGCCTCGCTTTGACTGGTGGTCAGGAGCCAGAGTAGCACAGTGGGGAAAACACGTGCTTTGCAATCAGGCACAGCTGGCCTGAAACGCTGGCCTTTTATGAGCCATGTGATTGTGAGCCTATTGCTAACCAGTCTGAGCCTCAGTTTCTTCCTCTGATGGTTCCATAGGGTGATGTAAAAACTTTGATATTCCCACGCATGCAAGTGGAACTTACTGTCATTGTTAGTGGTGGGAGGTAGATTTGAGTGTTCACTGAAAGCTCGTTCTTCATTAATACCATTTGCTGACATAATCTGCCCTTTCTCTCTCTAGCACTTCAGTGGGGAGTTTCCCATCAGGGGAGAGCAGTGACCAGGGCCCCCGGACACCCACCCAGCCTTTGCTGGATGCTGGCTTCCGCTCCGGCAGCCTGGGCCAGCCCAGCCCTTCGGCTCAGAGAAGCTACCAGAGTTCTTCTCCTCTTCCGACTGTGGGCAGCAGCTACAGCAGCCCTGACCACTCACTGCAGCAGTTCAGCTCCCCAGAAAGCCAGGCCCGGTCTCAGTTCAATGTGGCTGGAGTCCACACGGTACCCGGGAGCCCTCAGGCACGCCACAGGACAGTGGGCACCAACACTCCCTCCAGTCCTGGCTTTGGCCGCCGAGCTGTCAACCCCGGCATGGCTGCCCCCAGCAGCCCCGGTTTGAGCCACCGCCAGGTGATGGGCCCACCAGGAGCTGGTTTCCATGGTAATGCAGTCTCTAGCCCCCAGGGCAGTGCAGCGACCACTCCAGGAAGCCCCAGCCTGGGCCGGCACCCCGGGGCCCATCAGGTTTCAGGCCTCCATGGCAGTGCGGCCACCACTCCAGGGAGCCCCAGCCGGGGCCAGCACCCTGGGGCCCTTCAGGCCTCAGGCCTCCATGGCAGTGCGGCCACCACTCCAGGGAGCCCCAGCCTGGGCCGGCACCCGGGAGCCCACCAGGGCAACTTGGCCTCCAATATCCATGGCAACACAATAGCCAGCCCCGGAAGCCCCAGCCTGGGCCGTCACCTCGGAGGGTCTGGATCTGTGGTTCCCGGCAGCCCCAGCTTGGACCGGCATGTGGCCTATGGCGGCTACTCCACCCCTGAGGACCGGAGACCAACGCTGTCCCGGCAGAGCAGTGCCTCTGGCTACCAGGCTCCTTCCACGCCCTCCTTCCCTGTGTCCCCTGCCTACTACCCTGGCCTGAGCAGCCCCGCCACCTCCCCCTCGCCGGATTCAGCAGCCTTCCGGCAAGGGAGTCCAACACCGGCCTTGCCAGAGAAGTGGAGGATGTCCATGGGAGACCGAGCGGGCAGCCTCCCCAACTACGCCACCATCAATGGGAAGGTGTCTTCCTCGCCTGTCGCCAGTGGCATGTCCAGTCCCAGTGGGGGCAGCACCGTCTCCTTCTCACACACGCTGCCCGACTTCTCCAAGTACTCCATGCCAGGTGGGTCTTTTCTTCACTTCCACGTCTCCTGCAGACAGATGAAGTCCACCAGTTAGGGTGTCTGTCCTGGCATCCTCTTGGCAGACAAATGTGGGTGGGTCACCGACACGTGGGCCTCAGGTGCCTAATCTGTATAATGGGAGTTGGAGGTGTCCTCAAAGTAAATGTGTTACGGTTGTGGTGGCTGTGGGTGCTGCTGCTCTTGAAGGCAGTGAACATAATAATAACGATGGCATTATCATTACAATTATCATAGCCGTGACCGCTTGTTGAGCACATGCTGTGTGCCAGGCTCTGAGATAAGTAATATCAAATTCATCCCATAGCCATACACGAGGAAACAGGCTTGGAGGGCTCGGCCATTTGTCCAGGGTCAGACAGTTAATGAATGTCTGCCAGTCCAGGCCCATGCTACCCAAAGCTAGTGCTCTTAAAGCATTATGGGAGTTGTTTTATCATGCTTCCCTGTCTTGAGGATCATGGTGATTTAGCATAACTTTGACAGTCTGCGGTCCAAACCTGAACCTCCATTCCTTTGCCAGCCCTTTGTTCTCACCTTTTGATCCCCACTGTGCACACATAGCTAATAGATCTGGCAGCCAGATGTGATATGGGACAAGGCCAAGGGTTGGGCATTTCACTGGAGTCTAGTTTCTACCAACCCGGCTTCACTGAGGTCCTTGCAAGTTTACACACCGAATTCTTCACTCATCACCAGAACTTGGCCTCTTTGCTTCCACTTAGAGGGCTCATTATCCAAACACAAAGGTCAAGGCCTCAGCTGATCTGCAGCTTCTCTTCCAGACCTGGAACCTGCCTGAGTGCAGAGGGGCCCTGGGGCTCTGAGGCATTCTAGGAAGACTGGGAATGTTGTGCACAGCTTGGAACAGGCCCCCGCTGCCCAGATTCGCAGTGTGTCACTACTAGGTCTGGCCAAGCCAGGACACTTACAGCGACCCTACACGCCCCTGCTTCCTGCTGCCCACCAGAGACATCTGGTTCCCAGCCCCTCTCCTTAGAGGATGCAAAATTTCTAGTAGTTGGGACATTTCCTGTTTCCCACCATCTCCCCTGCTTAAAATAGCCATTGGAGTCAACACAGGAAGGCACATGGGGCTGCAGCCGCCTCTGACAGTTCATTAGGCGGGCCCAGCATAACGGGGCGGGGGCTTCAGAGCAGAGAGGGGCAGCCTACAAGAGTCGCACAGCCCAGCTGCCTAGGCCAGAGGCCCTCCTCAGTGCACAGCTGCCAGGGAGAGGAGCTGACCTAGCCCTTCACTATCCTCCAGAGACAGATCCCAGAGTTTAAGGGACATGTTGAAACTGACTAAGTCCTAGACACACAACCCGATCCCTGTCGGGTCTGGATGTTCTGCGCTTTACAGCATCGTTAGTGCAGACTCCCTCTACTCCCACCTCTCTCAAAAAGGAGAGGAAACAAGTACAATTGAAATATTCCATTTTCCCTCTTTTTGTTTTCTTTTGCGCCAAAAGATGAAGGAAGAGGTTGGGGAGCGAGGGGCACACATCCTAATGCCTAGTCAGGAAGCTACGGTGTAGCCGGCACCGAACTGGCTGCTGCATCTTCTCACCTGGGAAGGTCTTCCAGGAGCCATTCAATTAACCATCGAAAGGCCTATGGGCTTGGACAGGTCACTCACCTTCTCTGAACCTCATTTTGCTCATGTGTGAAGTTACACAGTTGGACTAGATACTCTCAGAGAGGTCCCTCTAGAGCCTAATGTTCTAAGAAATTGTCCCGGGTCTGCAGAGGGTCTGGTGGGGCGGGGCATCTGTGAGAGAAGTGGGGTCTGTGACACACAGGAGATGGCATCTAAATTCTAGGCCAACCCTCCCTCTACTGGTCCCAGAGCAGGTGGGACTTTTTTGCCCTATAGGACACTGAACTCAGGATTTCCACATGGGGAGCGAGGAAGGGGCTGGGGGGAAGTGGGATGAACTGCGTCTTTCTGCTCTGGTCCTCAAAGTCATTATGATCAGGTTGGGAGGAAAGGGCTAGAGGTGGCGTGTCTTAGCCTGTGGGAGGAGCTGCAGGAAGGGTTTAGTCTGAATCTTTTAGAGCAAAGGGGAGATGGGGTGGAGTCGGGCTTTCGTCGGCTCAGTGAGAATGCCATGCCGGGCTCTTGGACAGGGGAGCAGCTCTGTGACACTGATGGCTAGCGGCAGACATAAAGGGCGACAGAGCTGCCCAAGGTCCCTTTAGCCATACTCTGATGATATTTGAGGAGGCTAACTTTCTGGGTTAGTTTCCTAGGAGAGCCTAGCAGAGTACCACAAAACTGGTGGCTCAACACAACAGAATTTATTCTTTTGGGGTAGTGGAGGCTGGAAGTCCAAAATCAAGGTGTTGGCAGAGTTGATTCCTTCTGGAGGCTCTGAGGGAATGTCTGTTCTAGGCGTTTTTTCTAGCCTCTCTTTGGCAGCATTTGGTATCCTTTGGCTGTAGACACATCTCTGCAATATTTGCCTCCAAGTTCACATGATGTTCTCTCCTTGTTCTCTCTCTCTCTTTCCCTCCTCTTATAAGGACAGTGGTCAGATTGGATTGGGGCCCATTCTAATCCTGCATGACCTCATCTTAATTTGGTTACCCTATTTCCAAATAAGGTCACATTCACAGGTACTGAGGGTTAGAGCATACATTTCTTTTGCAGGGAGAACATTATTTAACCCACAACACTTTTTTTCCTCCTCCTGTAGACAACAGCCCCGAGACCCGGGCTAAAGTGAAATTTGTCCAGGACACTTCCAAGTATTGGTACAAGCCTGAGATCTCCAGAGAGCAGGGTGAGTCCTGGGGGGTCCTGGGATCCATTCGAGGTCACAGTTGGCTGCTGCCCATTGGGCCTTCCCTGGGCAAGAAATTTAAGTAGACGCCTTCCTCCTGAAGCAGTACGTGGTGGTCCCAGAGAACGGCTGCACCAAGGTCAGACAGGAAGAGCCATCCCCGTGGTAAAGTGTGGGGGAGCAGAGCAATGAGTGTAGACTCTCCTTTGAAGATTCCTTAGTCAGCGAAGTCTTGGTTTCCTGGGCAAAGTAAAAGACTGGTCAAGATAATAGGAAACTTTAGCTCCCCATCTGCATGATGTGGGAGATTTTTGTACATTTTACAAAAAACAAAGTTGGGATTATGGGGGTGGAGAAGAGACCATGTGAGGCTCCCAGGGAAAGTCTGTGTGGAGATTGGACAGGGTGCTGCTGACTGCAGCCTCCGGGTCACATCCGGACTGCTGTCTGTTTGTAAACATAGTGCCATTGAACACAACCACCTCTATTTGTTTATCTACTGTCTGTGGCTGCTTTTGTGTTGCAATGGCTGAGTTCAGAAGTTGCAATGGAGACTCCATGACTTGCAAAGCCTGACATATTTACATCTGGCTATTTAAAGAAAAAGTTGGCCAACTCTAGTATAGACGGACCCTTCAGAGAGTTGGAATTCTTACTTTAAAGAATCTGCTGTCACTTAAGAAAGAATGAGGTTCGAGAGGCCTGATGAAACTTAAGGGAAGCCACTGCCATCACTTTCTTACTCCCTCTTCTCCCCCTGCCTTCCCCTCCCAATTCAGCCATCGCACTCCTGAAGGACCAGGAGCCGGGGGCCTTCATCATCCGTGACAGTCACTCCTTCCGAGGAGCCTACGGGCTGGCCATGAAGGTGTCTTCTCCCCCTCCGACCATCATGCAGCAGAATAAAAAGGGTAACACTGTCTCTTTGAGCTGGGCCTCAGGACGAGGTGATTGTTAGGGTCTTTTCAAACCCTGAGGCGCCAGAAGGACCTGGGGGCTTGGCAGGTTTCTGATTCTCATGGGAGCTTGTTCCTGATGATCAGACTCTTCAGCAGAGTGAGCCTTGGGCGTGGTAACGGTTGGGGTCAGAAAATCAGGAAGATAGATTATTGGGGCTGTGATTGCATTTCCTGGAGGGGTAGGAAGAGTCGTGGTCTCTCCATTCCAGGGTTCTGGCTCTATTGTCTCTGCGACGCCTTCTCCCGACAAAGCCCCGCACCCTGGAGAAGTTATGAAGTGGTGTTGGGAGGCGGTGGGCAGACATCATTAGAAATGACTGATCCTTATTTCTTTCTTTTCACCCCAGGGGACATGACCCATGAGCTGGTGAGACATTTCCTGATAGAGACCGGTCCCAGGGGAGTCAAGCTCAAGGGATGCCCCAACGAGCCAAACTTCGGTGAGATGTGCTCCCGCTTCTCTCTCCACGGTCGACCCGCAGAGTCTCAGGCCTGTCCCGGGTTCCCCCGCCTCAGGGTCTGCCAGTCCCCTTTGTCACAGACACAGCGGAGAGATGAACAGGGGCTTCCCTTCCTCTGTGCTGCGGCCCCTTCACTCTGCCAAAATCCTTTCTACATTTTTCCTTCCCCACTGAGACGTGTTATTGTAATTTGATGAACAGCTAAAACAACAGCTTCCTTTATTGACCACTTACTATGTGAAAGTCACTGTCTAGGTCCCTGACATTCCTTCTGCCCTCATGACAGTTCTGTATGGTAGGTGCCATTATCCCATTGTACAGAAGAGGAAATGGAGGTTCATAGAAGCTAGGTTTACCTAAGGACACATAGCTAATAAGTGACTGAGCTGGGATTTGAACCCACTGTCCTGAGAGGGACATGGGCAGCTGGAGGGGCTTGGGAGAGATGCTGGGGAGTACCCTTCTGTAAAGGAAAGCTGTTAGGTAACCTATGACTGCTAGGGTGAACCTTTGGAATATTCTCCCTTGGGTCTTACTAACAAAGAGGGACTGGGCTTCCAGTTTTATTGGTGGGATGAGGGAGAAGAATGAAGAGCCTGAAGACTGGGACTAGCAGGGTGGGGCGGGTGGGCTTCCTCAGTGTCCCAGCCCATTTCCAGGAAAGCTGCCCCTGACATGCTGCCTCTCTCCCTGCAGGATCTCTCTCTGCCCTGGTCTACCAGCACTCCATCATCCCGCTGGCTCTGCCCTGTAAGCTGGTCATTCCAAACCGAGGTAGGAACCTGGCACCCCTTCCTCCCAAGTGCACCCTTGAGCTGGCCTCCTTCGTGTCTCAGCCCGGCCAGGGCTCCAGAACTTGGGCCACGGTTGGAGTATAGGGGTCATTTTGCCCGTCTGGGGAAACTTGAAACTACTCTTCTCTTTCTTGATTAAAAAGAGAAGGAAAAGTTTATTGAAAAGCTTAACTCCAGGAACATACATAATTGACTTGCCAGATTGTTCTGGAAAATTCTCTGGAGACTCAGAAATTCAGATTGGATTTTCGGAATAAGCCATGTCCCAGAAGAGGCAGTGGAAGTAGGAGACAGTTGTGGGGAGGATCACGTCCAGAGGATGAGATGGGTGTCCGTGGGCAGGGCCAAGGGCAGGGGGAGGGGAAGGCAGATTTAGGTCACAGGAGGGTCCATGATGGGAGGTTTGTCTGAATGGAGAGGAGAGAGCACCCGGGAGGGATCTCTTAGAGAAGAGGTGGCTGAGCTCTGTATTGCATAGGAAGGAAAGGGGATGGTCAGATGTCCCTTCAGTTTCTAGTGTGGGTGGCTGTCAGGATGGTCCCTGACGGAGGGGACACTGAGCTGATAGGGAAGAGCAAGCCCTCTTTTGACTGTGGGAAGTTTGAATGGAACCCAAGAGCCGCAGGACAGAGGATAGGAACCTGAATGAGACACTGCGGGGGCAGAGGAGATTTCAGCTTCTTCCAGAGAGATGTCCCAGTCTTGGAGGGTGGCAGATGGACCCCAAAGCTCTTCACAGCATAGCTTCTGTTACAGCACAGGCTTCTTATTCCCCAGCCGCCAAGTACACAGGGCTCACACCAGGGAATATGCTTGGCCCTGAACGTGAGGTCTAGAAACTGGGAGCCGAGGTACCTTCTCCCTACCGTCTCTGATCAATAACAGGACATTCAGAAGTACCCCTGGGACTTTCTCCTCTCTTTTGAAGCGCCTGGGGGTTTGCCCACACAGAAAACCGCCAATATTATTTGATAGTTTCTATGTATTCAATTCGATTCATTGCATTATTAATGATAATTGACCACCCTTATTAGCTTAAAAGTTCAAATACAACTTAAATAGCATTATTAACCATACAATTTAGACACTAATTAAATTATATTTGTACAGAATTTACCAAAGTAATTCAGCAATGATAAAATTGATATTTGCATTGTATACACTAGTAGTTCTCAAAGTATGATCCCCAGACCAGCAGCATCAGCACCTCTGGGAATTTGGTAAAAATGTGAATATTCTCCAGCCCCTCCTGACCAGGGTATCTGGGGTGGGGCCCAGCAATCTGTGTTTTAACAAGCCTGCCCACCCTAGTCTGCAAAACGCTAGTGTAAATGATACTCAGTTCTCTTTAATATTGAAATTCTAATTGTGCTGCGTTAATGGTTTAATGAGTGAGGGCATTTACTGATCTCCACAGATACCAGTGCAGAAGAACCCCACCAACTTGAGGGTGTGTTTTGTGCCAAGCACTGGGCTAACACAGTACATGGGGCATCTCAGAAGCCCAGTGAAATGCTCCTTTCACCCTCATTTCCCTTTTGTAGATGCATAGCTCGTGCTGGGCTGAGGGTCTGAACCCGGCTCTCTGTGGGACTCTGGAGCTCTTGACCAGTCAGCAATTACTGAACATTGCAGCTGGACACACGCGTACCAACTGCCCAGGGCCTGATGCGAAAAGCAGTATCCATTGCACGAAATATTTGCAGAGCTTGCTTTAGGCCAAGCCAGACGTGGGCTTCTTTCCAGTTCTAGCGTTTTAATTACTAACTGAATTAAATTTTTGTCTCAGACCCCACGGATGAATCGAAAAATAGCTCGGGCACTGCCAACTCAACCACTGACCTGCTGAAGCAAGGGGCAGGTGAGTGGCCGCTCCAGACCAGATCCCTGCCCAGGCCTTTTCTCCTTTCTGCCCTGTCCCCTCCTGCAGGTGCAGGCTGGGCAGGTGGGCACACCCCATTTCTGGGTGCAGATGCTTTGGCCTGAAGTTGGCCTGAAACTTTCTGCTACCTTCTTCCTGAAGAGAGGGCCTGGGGATCGTCTCCACCCACTCCAGCCCCCGTGACTCCTCCTTGGGTGGGTTTCTTCCAGCCTGCAACGTGCTCTTCGTCAACTCTGTGGATATGGAGTCACTCACTGGGCCACAGGCCATCTCCAAAGCCATTTCCGAGACACTGGCTGCTGACCCCACACCAGCTGCCACCATCGTTCACTTCAAAGTTTCTGCCCAGGGAATTACACTGACTGACAACCAGAGAAAGTAAGACTCTTCTGCCCACTTCTTTGTTGGGCTCTCCTCCTGTGACCCATCTATCCTTCCACTGACCCACCTACTTACCAATCAATTCATCCCTTGTACCCATCTATCCGCCACCCATCCTCCATCTATCTGGCCACCCACCCATCCATCCATTTGTTCGTCCATCCATCCATCCATCTCTCATCCACCCACCATCTCTCTACCTGGCCACCCAGCCACCCACCCATCCATCCATCCATCCATCCATCCTCTTGCTCGGCCACTCACCAGTTGATTCAGCCATCTGCATCCATTAATCCCCCATATATACTCCCTCCATTTATTCCTTCACCCATTTATGTCTCTACTTATCTACCCATCCATCTGCCCATTTTTCCATCTTTCTACAAATATGCCTGCATTGGGTGTACAGCTGCAAAAGTAACTGGTAAAAGTACCTGCTTTCTAGAGCAGAACCCTGCCTCTCATGTTCTCTCTAACACGTTTCCCCTACCGCTTTCCTTCCTTCTCCAGGGTCTCCCCATCTCTCATTTCTCAAAGCCAGTTTCTTCCTTCTTTTCCTCACCTCTAGCTCTGGAGAGACGTTTCCATGACACTTCTGTCTGTTCCCGTGCAATGCTTATGTCCCCAGTGTGGGCAGCTCGGGCCGTCTTGGTCACAGGGGAGAGGCTGTGTTGACCTGTGACAGTCACAGAGGATGGGAAGGTGGCCTGACCTGTCACTTCAGCACTCATTCTGTTTATCTGATGTCTATGCCACAGGCTCTTCTTCAGACGACACTACCCTCTCAACACCGTCACCTTCTGTGACCTGGATCCACAGGAGAGAAAGTGAGTCTCTTGTAGACACTTTCCTTCCCTGCCAGCTCTAGAACACGGAAGTCTGTGTGTGTGCACGTGCGTGAGTATGTGCGCGTGTATGTATGTGTGCGTGCGTGTGTATTTTTGGTTCCGCCTGGAGATCTGCCTGTGTCGGCAGGAGTGTAATTGTCCTGGGCATCGTTTTGAGTGTTTCCCACAATAAATATGGAGACCCTCCCAGGAACTCAAACGCCCGCTTTCACCGCCTCTGTCCTGTCCCTGGCCCCTGAGTCTGCGTCTCCTCTCCACCTTGGGGAAAGCTCCTTGGGAGGCGGGCCGCAGTTCTCTTTATCTGAATGCTCCCAACCCGTAATGGGCGCCTCTGCCTTCCCCCCGAGGGTCCGGGCACGCATGGGGCTGAGCTCTGGGGAGAAAGTGGGGTGGCTCACGCTGTGCCGTCTTTCTCTCCACAGGTGGATGAAAGCGGAGGGAGGTGTCCCTGCTAAGTAAGTGTGGCTTCTCCCCCCACCCCAGCTGGTTGGTCTTTGTGCTTTTTGGGACGGGGTCAGGGGGCAGCAGGGGCAGGTTGAGAATGCAGGACTCGGGGGAGGCACAGGGCAGCAAGGGCCACTCAGCTTTGGAGAAAAGTGTGACCAGGCACCCAGGACTTTTGCCCTCCGACTCTGGTCTTGTCACACCCCCTCGCCCAGGACTAGACCCGCAGGGGTCTGAGGAAGTGGACAGGAAGCCGAGGGTTCTTTTGAGGTGATGGCAGTGGGGCAGGGGTTGTTTAAATGATCTTTTCTGCCCCAAATCCTGGCTGCCCTGATTCCCATTTGTGCTTTTTGGTGGACTTCTGCAGCTGGGCTAGATTTCCTCTGAACGTGGGAGCCCAGAGGGTCTGACTTCTGGGATGGCCCTGGGACCTTTTGGTCGATGCTTCCGTCTGTTCAGCATTTCCTGAGTGCCTCTGAGGAACTTAGCCCTGGGAGGGTTCAGACTGACCCGGGGTCTGACTCGACTCCAGGAGGCCTGACGTTGGCCCAGTGGATAGGACAAATGTATAAACAGCACTAACATGCCGCAGTGGTTTTCAAACTGTGTTCCAAGGAACCCTAGGATCCTCAGGTTGCAGCTGAGCTCTTAAGAGGGGAGGGAAAACCCTGTTACAATCTGCAGCTCTGTATCAGTATGAATCGGGGTTTTCTTAATATCACAAAACCAAAACGAAGTATAGGAATAGCCTGGCTACTGAAGCTGCCAGAGACTGCCATTGTGGTCTGTAGTTCCCCATTTTACTCTATAATGGTAAATGTTATGCTGTTCAATTGATATATTTAGAACCATAAGTACTTCAGTCACCTTTATATATTTGACTTCATATAAGAATGTTTTAGAAAAAGAAACTTTACACTGTAAAAACATTAAAATATACCCATCCACAGGCAGGATGGGCTATACCCATCATAAAGGAGAGCACGTGGCATGGGCTCTAGGCAGGGGGAGATTTGGAAAGGTTTGGGGAAAGAACCTACGTTGAAAAGTGGGTCTGCAAAGGCAGGTACAATTTGAACAGGTAGAAATGGGTGTGGGGTTGGGGGAGAGATGATTTCAAGGGGACAGAGAGGCACGGCCACTGGAGCGCACGCTTCCTGAGGGCTGGGTTTTGTCTGTCGTGTGGGAAGGGCTGGTAAGTGTTAGTCTCCTACAGAAATGAGAGGAGGAGGCAGGGCGCAGGAGGGCGAGGCAGAGTCCCCCTGAGGCCGCTTCGGTCAAGAGGGAAAGGAGCCGGCCAGCGGCCAGTTAGCGTGAGGAACAGCGGTGTCCAGAGGGGCTGTGTGGGCTGGAGGAGGCCGCAGCTTGCCCCAGGTCACGTGAAGAGTTAGCGGTCTGGCCGAAAGGAAGACCCAGGTGCCCAGCCATCTCACAGCTCATCTCACACTTGCCTCAGCCTTCTCCTGGGCTCGCAGGGGTCATTAGGGGCTCTGTCCCTGCCACCAACCAGGAGGCCAGAGCTTTGTGTTTGAAGAAGCTCCTGCTTACTGAATATTGGACCCTGTGAAGGGCAGAGGGGTCAGGGACAGAAGTGGGCTGGTCCCAGGCCCGAAAATCATTCTCCTCATTCAGGAACGGGTTTTGTGCTGAGCTTCCAGCTGACCTGGCCTTGCTGGGCAGGGCACAGGCCTGAGAGAGCCCAGCTCAGGGGCTCAGGGTGGGGCTAGGGTGAGGCACAGATGCCCGAGGCCCGGGTTTAAGGAGCACAGGCTGTCAGGTCCTTGCAAGTACTCCTTCCTGCCGTTGGGGGCTGCGGTTTCTTGCTTGGATCCATTTCCCTAAGCAGAGGAAGGAATTGGCTGTTGCTGCACTGGCCCTGGAGGCCTTGGAGCTGAAATAAACACCAGGAGAGGGAGGCGGGGGACTCTCCATCCTGGCAGAAGCTGGCAGCCAGGGGTAGTGTGCCATCGTGCCCGCAGCTCAGAGTCACTCCCTCCCAGAGCCCTGAGTGCCCTCCACCCCACCAAGCAGCCCAGCAAGCCTGGAAAGAGGATTGGGGGCTGGGCATGGACCCAGCATTTTCCATGTCTTAGGCAGACCGTTATACCCCAGACCTCTGGCCCAGTGGTCCCCAGCCCCTGAAGCAGCTTTAGGAAGCCCAGTGTGTATGTACACCCACGCGTGTGCACGGTTGCAAGCTGGACCCACCTTTTCTAATTTTAGCTGTTGTGGTCCAGTCCCAGGGAGAGGGGTTTCCATCGGAATCTCCAGCTGTCCCGATTTCCCCATCTCGCTCTAATTAGCAACGCGCTGGCTGGGAGGGGACCTCAGCTCACATTCTGTTCTCTGCTCTCATATTTTTAACTCTGTTTTGCACAGAGAGAATGCCAGCTCACTCCAGTCTTGGTGCAGGGAGTGGGGGTTGGGGAAAACAGGTGTGGGGTCTCCCTCCCCCTCCCATTCTCTGGATCCCAAGAGAAATGTGTGTGTGTGGTGAGGGGAGAGTAGCGACCCCTGTCCTTTTGTCTCCCTCACCTCCTCCTGGTGTTTGAGGAGGTCCAGACCTTTGACAGATACACAACGTTTTATTCTGTGCTTGTGTCGTGTGTAAGAATAGTTGGGTAGGGGTGGGGCTAACATGGACTGAGAGAAGCTCAGCTAGGAATGTCCCCATTTTATTTTTGTTCTCGTTTCCACCTCTTATGGTCCAGTCTTGTCAGTTGCCTGCAGCAACTCCTCCCCCATGTTTCTCCCCTCCCCACGAAAGGGGACTTTCTGCCTACTCTAAAACAAGTGACACCGTCTTCTCCAGTGTCACTTGACTATCTTGTCAGTGGAAGAGGGAGAGGGCTCTCTCTTATGTTCCCCGCCTCCCCTCCCCCAATTCCCATGCCCAGGAGATGTGGACGGAGGGGGAGAGGCCGACCTGGAGATCAGTTTGCTCACCCCGGTGGCTCTCCAAGGCGCGGGGCCCCTCCTGCCCTCCTCTCACACCTGTCACCCCTCTCCTGCCCCTGCAGGCTCTTTGGCTTTGTGGCCCGGAAGCAGGGCAGCACCACGGACAACGCCTGCCACCTCTTTGCTGAGCTTGACCCCAACCAGCCTGCCTCCGCCATTGTCAACTTCGTCTCCAAGGTCATGCTGAGTGCCGGACAGAAGAGATGAACTCACCCCATGCCCGGGCCAGGGCAGTGGGGATGGGGCATGGGGGGAGGGGACCCATGAATCCTGACCACCTTTGAATCCAGAAGGAGGACTTTGGGCCAATTTTGGAGAAGGAGAGAAGAAAGTGCAACGTGGGGAGAGGGAAGTGAATTGCGGAGGGGAGGGGGAGAGAGGGAGAGAAAGAAAGACAAGGATGGAGGAGGAGAACTCAGTTCCCTTGGGTGGATGGATATTGCGCAACCCCGAAGCCTTCAAAACTGACCAGGTCCACCTAATGCCCCCTCCCCGTCCCAAGGGATGGAGCCCCTCCAAGGAGGCAGAACTGACCGCCTTGGGGATCCATACTTTGGGGGGAAATGGAAAAGTATCCCTCTAACCCAACTGCTTTGCATGGAGAAAACAAGTCAAGAGAATCTTTTTCTGGCCACCTCTAGGGTACATTGCCAAACTAAAAAGAGCCAGCATGGGATATCAAGTGGCAGAACTTTTGCTTTTGAAAGTATCTCAGACCCAGGGCACCTAAAGTCTCTTTGTTCTGCCTCTGATGTATAGTTTGCGTGGGTGTACATGTGGGGTTGTGTATATGTCAGCACCCACATCCTCACACGCTGATTTATATTTGCCTCTCAGCTAGAATCATAAACAGGTGAACTTGCCCATGTTCCATGTGTTTGCGCACACGTGCATACTATCCAAAGAAAGTTAGAATCGGGGCGACACAGCATCAAGGAGGGGACGGCAGCCTTCTTCCCTGGGAGCACGCAGGAATGTGGGTGACAGGCTCTGTCTTGGTCCCTACACCTGCTCTCTAGTGGCCCTGAGTGCCGCCAGCCCCTTCTCCTGGACCAAGAAGCCAGCGGGAGCTGGACCGGCCACCTTGCCTCCACCAGGAGGTAGGACTGTTGGTTTGAGGAGGTGGAGCCATGCGTTTCCATAGCCCCGGGGAAGAGATCCATCAGCTGCCCATGCTGTTGACCCTGAGGCCTCTTTCCTGAGTGGTGTGGCCCAGCAGCGAGGTGGGCGGTTTGTTCCCGCCAGCTCTCAGCCTTCAGCCCATCCTTGGGCTTTGCGCCCACACCAGCCTTAACTCAGACTTGCTTATCTGCATGCTGTCTTTTCGGGTGCTGGGGATTGAGCCTTCCTGCTCTGCCCTGCTCTGTTGTGTCCTGCAGGGCCCCCAGGTTGGGCTGATCCTGGGGAAACTGCTTCTAATGGCCCTGCTCAGCAAGGCCCGGGGGAGAAGCCTATAGTCCTTGTCCTCCCCTCCGCAAGTGTTTGGGCTCTGACTTTCGCTGGGCTCTCCAGGGTGACTTAGCAGAGCTCTGGGAGCTGCTACCTGTATACCACATGGCCTGTGTACATTACTGGAGCCTTACTGTTTCCTCTTCTGCCTTGGTTTCCCCAGAAGAGCCACGCTGCCTGTGAGCAGAGGGCAGAAAGCATGCATTTAGGCCAAAGGGCCTAGAGTTCATCTGGGCAATTGGGAAACCCCCAACTTCCACCCAAGGACTCTAAGCTGAAATGGAAAATTCACCAGGACTCCATTCTTGAGGGGCTTCTTAAGCCTCTGGGGTCCCCTAGAGAGAGGCATTGTACTGATATATAAATATATATAATATATATGTGAGACATACTGACAGAATCTGTAAGCTAATAAAATATAAGAAAAGGTTAAAAAAAAGAATAGGTAAATTGACAAGAAGTATTTATTGTTTTCCCATAATTGCTTTATTGCCACTCTGGGCATAAACCAATTCCCATCCCTCTTCGTATTTGTAAACACAGCCTGAAATGTAGGGGCCTTTATCCTTGAAGCAATCAGGGGTCTCCTTGCCCTGGCCTTGGCCTTCCCTAGACTCTGTCTGGGGCTCCACGGGGAGGGGTGCACATGTTCTAGCCCCTTCGGCCCCCCTATTTTCTGGCAAGCCCAGGTCTTGGCCATCAGGTCCTGAGATGAGCCCATTCACCACGGCTCGGGCGAGTGTGAGCCAGCGGGGGACGTGGGTGAGTGTGTGGACGTGGGTAACGTGTGCGTTTTTTGTATTCTTTCTCCAAGAAGCTGCATCTGTGTGGACATACTGTTTCAGGGAGTTGGAAAGGAGGGTGTCTAAAGAAGGTGGGGAGCAGCTCCCCGCTTCCCAAAGGTTGGTGACTAAAGTTCCTCCAAAGTGCTCTTCCTTCTGAGGCCTTCAGGCCAGATGCTGGGATTTCCCCCTCCTTCCCCTCTGGCCCCAACTCTCTTCCCAGATGGGAGGTATTTCACCCCTTCCTTTGTAAATATCTTAATCTCCCCCTGGACAGCCCCGAGGTGTTCTCTCCACACCAAGGCCAACCAGAGTGTTAGACCATCGGGCAGACCTGGGTGCAGGGTCCGCCTTCTCACGAGCTTTCCCACTGCCCACCACCGCCCACCTCCCAGGCATGGCCAGCCCACCCCACCCAGGCCTGAGCCGAGTGTGACCCCCACGAGCAGGACCCAGGGGGCGCTGGGAAGCTGAGCAACTCGCTCCCTGGGGTCCCTCTGGAGGGAGTCGGTTTACTTGAGTTTGGCCTTTCCAGAAGAATGATGGGGAAGGGCACCCGTCTCCATAGTGCCCCCCGCTTTGGGTCAGACTCTGATTGGGAAGACACTGGTCCTCCTGCCTCACAGGTTAGGCATGTGCATCCATGAGCATGTGCACATGCGCACGCGTGCGCGCGCACACACACACACCCCACAGCATTACAGTATGTTCTTGCCAAAGATGTCCTTTCAAAGAAAGCACTTTTAATAAGTATTGTTATTATCATGTAAATGTTTATCCTTGTCTCTCTTCCCCCTCCCTCAACATATTTGCTGTTTACTGTTGAATCCCTCTGTCAGCCAGGAGAGTGCTGTCTGGTCTTGAAAATGGTCTGGGGGGTGGGGTCTGGGAGAGGGCCTGGGAGAGGCAGGGTCAGCTGGTGACCCAGCGACGCAGCCCCGGCAGGCTCGGCCCCGCTCCAGCGGGCCTGCTTCTAGCTGTCCTGCCAGGCCCCGAGGCAGGCCCTCCAGTAGCACAGGGAGGCTGGCCCCATGTCGGCCCTGTGGCTCTTGCCAGGTGGAGCAAGAGGGGAGGGCTGGGCATGGGAACAATGGAGTGGTGACCCCAGAGGGGAAATAGGGAGGAAGTGAGCTGTTCGATCAACCTCCAAGGGTGGCTGGAGTCCCCTCCCCTGAGGTCATGGTGTTCTGATGCCCTTGCCTAGCCAGGTGTCTGAGAGACAGATGCATCATGTCCTCAGTTTGGGAGAGGCCTTTTGACCTCCGTCCTCATGGGAGCTTTTCCTGCAGTGGCTCCTAAAGCTTGCGGGCTTCCAGGATTCCTTCTCCACTGGGTTTTGAGGAGTCCCTGGGCATGTCAGAAACTGGCAGGACAAAGGGTGCTTGGTGGCTGCATACCCATAAGCGGAGGCAGCTGTCTGGACAAGTGTGATCCTTCCATAAAGGGGCTCCCAGGAGGGAGATGACGAGGTTCTTTTGCCCTCCCCTGCTGGGCATGAGCAGAGATTGGGCGGGCTCCTCAGTCCGTGCAGGGGTAGGGAGGAGTCTGCAGCTAGAGCAACACCGGTGCCCTGCACGTGCATCACCACCCTGCCTCCTGCGTCTCCTCCCCTTTGTTCTTTCCCAGCTGGGGAGATCAAGTGGGCCAATGCCCTGTCCAAAGGTGGCCTCCTGCCCCTGCGTCTCCCCATGCTCAGGGTCCTTGGAGAGGTCAGAGGCAGGGTCCGGGAGCCACTCCCCGCCCAGGTCCAGGCCCCGGAATCCCAGGGCTGGAGGCCCCTGGCCGGTGGGAACACAGGACGTGTGTGCGTGTGCGTGCAAGTGTGGATGTCTGTGTGTGCGTATTTCGCTTGTCTCTCTAGGAAAATTTGAGGTTGGGCTGGAGGAGGTGGCCAATAGCAGGACATCAAATTCAATATCACCCAGCGCAGGAGGAATCAGGAGGCGAGGCCTGTAGGGCACCGACAGGTAGAATCTCAGTGTTGGCAACAGGGTGACACTCTGCTGTCCTCAGATGTTCGAAATGTTGGAGGACCTCGGTTTATTTCCCGCGCTGGGCTCTTCCTAGCAGCTAGGCAATTGTAGAGGGATGTCCCAAGTTTGTTTCCTAATCAGTGTTAAGCAGTTTGAGACTCTCCTGTGTCCCTGTTTGGTTTGTGTGTGTCTGTGAGGAGCATATCTGTGTCTGCATGCTGTGTTTCCCCTCCTCTGTCCTCCCTCTGACGTCATTCAAAACAAACCTGAGAAGTTCCTTACTGCCCCACCCCACCCCCCACCCCTGCCTCCCAGGCCCTCTGCAGGACAAACAGAATAACCCAGCCTCCTCCCACCCCCTGACTGTATTTATATAGGTGGAAATATACTTTCTGTTTTCTATCATCGTGCCTATAACCTCTGCCCCTTGTATAAACCCTGATGTATGCTACTTATCCTGGATATGAATGTATTGTACACTGATGCCGCCCCCCTCCTGTACAGCCGCTTTGTTTCTTTGCAATCTGTTGTATGGCTTTATAAATGATAAAGTGAAAGAAAAATCGTGCTGTGGTCCAGCTGTGTTGTTTGGAAAGGGGTCTGCAGGTCTCTGGTGGGCAAAAAACAGCCTCACCCTGGCTCTGGCTGTGTGGCTTCAAGGATTTTCTGCGGACAGCTCACCCCAGGCCCTCCCAGCGGCAGCTTCGCACCATCCAGGTCCTGTTCTGATTCCTGTGAGTCTTTCATCTGGACTCTCTGCTAGAATAGAAACTCAACTCAAATTGGCTTAAGAAAATAAAAAAGGAATGTATTGGCCCACAGGACCGAGAAGTCCAGGCACGGCTGGACCCAGGGGCTCACGTATAGAATCAGGAATCTGTCTCCATCGTTTGGCTCCGAGTTGGCTTAGTTCACAGGCAAGTTCCATCCTGGTGCTCCTGGTGAACTCTTTGCAATTCAGGGAGTTTGGAGTGGTACCTGCTGAGGCCTGCCTAGCGCAGTACAGGGTGCCCTGGGAGATCTGAAATACGTGACACAGCTCTTGTTCCCTATCAAGCTTACAGTGCAGCTGGAAGTTTGGCTGGGAAGGCCGATCCTTTGGCACGTGGGCCGAGACCGCTATGCAGCCCACACAGTGAGAACCGGGGCAGCCTTCTCAGACCGGTCCAGGACTCCTTTACACTAAAAAATTAGTGAGCTCTTGTTCACTTGGGTGCTCTCTTTCCATATTTACCATGTTCTAAATGAAAACTGAGAACATTTAAAATGTTTACCAAATCACTTCCATAGCAGTATTAAACTCACTGCATGGTACTATAAATAGAAATTTTGTGGGAAATGATGTTTTCTAAAACAAAAAAGATCGAATGAGAAGAGTAACAACAACTATTTGGCCTTTTTCAAAAATCTCGCTCATGCCCGGCTTAACAGAAAGACAGCTGGGCTCTTCTATTGGCTTCTGCTTTCACTTTGTTGTGATAGCACCCAACTACCTCTGGAAAACACTATGCACGTGAGAGAACAAGAGTGAAAAGAACAAATAAAACCTTAGTATTATTAAGAAAATAGTTTTGACCTCACATGACCCCGTAAAGGGCCTCTGGTACCCAAGGTCCCCAGACTGTGCTCTGAGAACTGCTCTAAGGGATACAAAGACAAGGATGCACAGTCCCTGCCTGCAGTGGAGGACCATGTATTGCAAAGCTATGTGCTACGCATCGTCACATGTCGTCTTCCCAGTAAGCCCATGAGATAAGTGGCATTAGACCCAAGTGACAAATAAGGAAACAGGCTGTAAGAGGTCCCATGCCTACTGTTGGGCAGAGCTTGTGCTTGTCCCTGCTGGTGACAGGTGGCATTTGGCAGACCTGCTAAGTGCCAAGACTTCGCTGAGCACGTTTGTGTGTTTTCTCACGCACACAAACCCAGTGAGATAAGGGCTGTCCTTGTCCTCATTTTACAGAGAAAAAAACCAAGGTACGTTCAAAGAGGCTCAGGTTGCTCAGAATCACAAAGCTGGTGAGTGGGCAGCAGAGCCAGGCATGAGCCCAGGCCAGCTGACCAGCTCACGGTTTTTCCTCTGCTCTCACGAGGTTTGCTTCAGACTCTGAAGTGTGATGGGCAGACAGGAGAGAAGACTGACAGTGTGGTCAGACAGGGCTGTCAGGGAGCTGGGCAGTCAGGCTGCCTTCCTGGGGAGTGGGCCAGAGCTGCTGGGGGGTGATGGGGAGGCCGCCCGTGGATGCCGCGCTCCTCTGGAGTGATGCGGGGACCCTGGGCCTGGTCCAGGGGGTGAGAGACAGATGGGACGAACAGGCTCCGGTCTGCGAGCTGGGCTGATCCAGCCTGGCTTTGAGGGCATTAAACAGTGAGGCAGGGTGGGGGCACGGTGCTAGGCCTCATCCTGGGGCCCGTGCTGCTCACAGGTGCTGGAGTCTCTGCAGCCTGGGGCTGGCCGGGGCAAGGGGAGACTTAGGCCTGGCCCCGGCGAACAGGCTCTCCAGCTGTAGCAGGTGTGTAGGGCATGGGCAGACACCAGCCTCAGAAGAGGCAGGAACATCGGCTGAGGTGAGGGCAGGAGGGGCAGAGGAATGGGGTTAGGGGGCTGGAGCGAGGAGTCTCACTAGGTCTCAGACCTGGCTGGGAGCTACCGAAGTCTGGGTCCCTCCCCAAGTTTCCGAGAGAAT